ATGACCGGGCCGCTCTTGGGCAACTCACCCATGTCTGTGTTTCCGTGTTGGGCAGTCCTCCGTCATTCCTGGTGGAGAGGCTGCCGGCTGCAGTCCACAGGCTCCAGGGCTCCCGGGAATTCTGATCTGGAAGCTGATGAGAGCTGGGTCTTTGAGTGGATGAGGGGTAGATGGGATTTTGCATTTAGAGTTGATGCTGGAATGATGACCACTTTGGGGAATGTTGGGTGAATGTATTTTGCACATGGGAAGGACATGAATTTGAGGGCTCGAGAGTGAATCGTTACAGGTTGAACTCTTCCCCCCCACCCCCAAAATTTTGTTGGAATCCTAACCCCCAATAACTCAGAATGTGATTTTATTTGGGAATAGAGTCTTTACCGAAGCAGTCAAAATGAAGTCATTAGAGTGGGCTCTCATGCAATGTGACTGGTACCCTTATAAGCAGGGAAATCCTGGGCACAGAGATCCCCCTTTCCTTCCCCCCCAGGAGAGCCTGTCATCAGGTGGCCAGTGCATGGAGCACTTCTGGCACCCTGAAGGTAGTGGAAAACAAGCAGATTTTGAAGTCAGAAAGTCCCAGATCCAAATTCTGGCTCTTCCTTTGCCCTGTGACTTTGGGCACTCCGTACGGACAAAGGAGATGCATGGTCCTTTCTCAGGGTGGCTGTGAGGATGAACTGGGGCTCTGTGTAAACCAGGCAGCCCCGGGGGGCCCTGTAAGAGGGAGCTGTAATTGTAGTTGGGCTTCCTGTGACCTTCACCTGAAGATGCTGCTTCCCCTGTGGAGCCCGTACTTCTTACTTCATGGACTTAAAAAAAATTATATACATATATATAGAGTATTTATTTATTTATTTTGTCTGTGCCATGCAGGATCCTAGTTCCCCAACTAGAGATCGAACCCATGCCCCCTACATTGGGAATGTGGAGTCTTAACCCCTGAACCACCAGGGAAGTCCCCACTCGTGGACTTACAAAGCTGGAAGAGCATGTGGAGGCTCTCTGTTCACCCCTGAATAGTGAAGATTGGGATCTTGAGGCCCAGAGAAGTAAGTGACAGCCTCACTTGCTCTCGCCTGGGGCTCTGGGAGCCAGGCTGGGTGTCCCTCCAGCTGCCCAGAGACATCAGTTCACCACTGAGTTTCGCTCATGCCTTTTGAGGAGCTCCCCAGGAGATGCTCATATGAATGAAACATCTTCTCACTGCCAGCAGTGAAATCCGCTTTGGTCACTTACCAGCTCATTTGCGGTGATCTCTGCTTTGTGTCGGGTGCTAGTGGTAAAGAACCTGCCTGCCAGTGCAGGAGATGTAAGAGATGGGGTTCGATCTCTAGGTTGGGAAGATCCCCTGGAGGAGGAAGTGGAAACCCACTCCAGTATTCTTGCCTGAAGAATCCCATTGACAGAGGAGCCTCATGGGCTATGGTCCATAAGGGTTGCAAAGAATTGGACATGACTGAAGCGACTTGGCATGCTCTGCCTCGTGTAGAGTCATCGATCCAGGAGAGTGGGGGCAGCTTTGGGGAGCATAGCGACAGCCAGGAGCAGTAGGAACGTCCCCACCGGCCCCTCGCTGAACTGCTGGCCTTGCCGCCTTGGAGTTCACGTGCCCTCCTTTTTGGGTCAGCTCCTTTGTGCCCTTGTCTCGTCTGGTATCAGAGCCTTGTCTGGGGGCCCAGCCTGCTGTTACCTGGGGCCTGTAAAAATAAACATTTTAAAGCTTCAAAGTAAACTATTTTATTTTATACTTAATAATATTGCCAACACGTGGGTCCAAGAGCTCTAAGAAAATACTTTAGGACAAATGCTTACTGCGAGATTGATCTCAAATAACCAGGATCAGCCCTCCTCCAGATAATCTTTGGGTACACAACATGGGCCTGGGAGAACAAGCATGAAGAGGGCCGCCTCGGGCCTGGTTCTGGGTCTGTGGGCGGATTTAACACTAACCTGTAAGGAGGAACATCAGCCCCAGCCTGGTCCAAGTCAGAGTCTGATACAGTAGCAACCATTCCAGTGAAAATAATGAAAAACAGAGACAAAAATGAAACTTCCCTGGTGGTCCAGTGGTTAAGAATCTGCCTTCCAATGCAGGGGATGCAGGTTCGATCCCTGGCTGGGGAACTAAGATCCCACATGCCAAGAGGCACTTAAGCCCGATTGCTGCAACGGTTGAGCCCATGCACTGCAACCGGAGAACCCCCACCCCACAGTGAAAGATCCCGTGTGCCACAATTAGGACCTGATGCGGCCAAATAAATAAATTAAAAAAATAAAAGACCTCAAAGTGCTTCAAAGACTAGTTCTAAACCCGTTGTGGGTGTGACTACTGATAGAAGCAAAGTCTGATGCTGTAAAGAGCAATGTTGCATAGGCACGTGGAATGTTAGGTCCANGCCCATACGGGCTTTAGATGCCCTGGGGCATGTGTAATCTTCCCAGACCTGGGATGGAACCCATGTCCCCTGCATTGACAGGGGTATTCCTATCCACTCTACCATTAAGGAAGTCCTCAGCTGGGTTTCTTATGTTACCAATAACCGTGTTGTAAATAAAATGTTACTCTTGGATACAGCATACATAACTTTATGAATTAAAAATCTAATCTATTTTACATTTTAGAAGGACTCAAAATGTTTGGATTGTACTTAATAGTTTGTAAGTCCTTTCATCTGTTGTTTAATCCTCATAATACTGACATCCACCCCACTTAACAGCTAAGGAAGCTGAAGTTCAAAGACGTAGAAATCTTCCTCCAGGTTGCACTCTGAGAAGGGAGGATCTGAATATAGCCCCTGCCCTCAGGTACCGGGATTGTGCCCAACTGGTGAGATCTCTTGATAAGTCTTTTGCATATCTGGGAGCTTTGTTTTTAAAAAATGAAAAAAACAAAAACACTTTCTTATCTTTAGCAAATGCCTTGTGTTGGTCTTAACGATTTTTGTACTCTAGTCTTATTAGAGTTAGGTGATTTAGTTTCTTTTGCTGACCCTTGATATAATTCTTTAAGGAATTAACTTCTCTGGCATTGTGAACTGGTTTCTTCAACACCCATCTTTCTTCTATCACTATTTCTGTGAACAGGTGAAGAAATAATGGCTTTTGGCCTGCAAATAACAAATGCTGGAAAGGGTGTGGAGGGAGGGGAACCCTCCTACACTCTTGGTGCTGCCACTGTGGAAAACAGTGTGGGGCTTCCTCAGAAGACTAAAAATAGAGTTACCATATGATCCAGCAATCCCCACTCCTAGGAATATACCTGGACAAAACTAATTCAAAAAGATACATGCACAACTATGTTCTTAGTGACTCTACTCACAATAACCAAAACATGGAGACATCTTAAACGTCCACTGACAGATGAATGGATAAAGAAGTTGCGGTACATATGTACAAGGGAATATACTGGGCCATAAAAAAGAACAAAATGATGCCATTTGCAGCAACATGAATGCAACTAGAGATTATCATACTAAGTGAAGAAAGTCAGAAAGAGAAAGATAAATACCATATGATATCACTTATATGTGGACTCTAAAACATGGCACAAATGAACCTATTTACAAAACAGCAACATACTCATAGAGATCAGACTTGTGGTTGCCAAAGGGATTGGGGTTGGGGGACAGGGATGGACTGGGAGTGTGGAGTTGGTAGATACAAACTACTATTTTTCGAATGGGTAAAGAACAAGGTCTTAATGTATAGCACAGGAATTATATTCAATACCTTGTAATGGAAAAGAATACAAAAAAAGAACGTGTGCATACAACTGAGTCACTTTGCTTACAGCAGAGATTGGCAGAATATTGACTATACATCAATTAAAAAAAAACAAAAAAAATTCTTTTTGTATTTCTGAAATGTATTTCTGAAGTTTTTTTTTTAGAAGCTGGAGATGTCCTCTTGTGAGAAAAAAGCATACAAATAAAATAAATACCCAAGTGAAACATGAAGTTTTAATAAAATCAATAAAAATAGCAACAATTTACTAAGTACTTACCACAAACCGTTCGACTATAAGCTCCTTGGGGGCAGGTACCTATCTGCCCTCTGCACAGATCAGCAACAGACCCAGAGAAGGTGCTCAAGAAATGTCAGTGCATGTAATAAGTTGATGCTGGGCACATTGAAAAGAGCTTCATATGCATATCTCATTTAATTCTGTTAAAAAAACAAAACTTAGCCAAGCAAATTTGAAGATAAAATTGGCTTTATTAGGCAATTCACAAACTGGGAAGCAGTCCATCTAGCAACGAGAAGGGCACTTGGGGGGCTGTATAAAATGGAAGGCTTTTATAGGAAGGAAGGTGGGAAAGGGAGCTATTAGCAAAAGGAAAAAAAAAGATTGCTTTAGATCAGGAGAATGAGGGGAGAGAAAAGCAAGGGTTATCTTTTCCTCCTCTGGGGGATGGAGAGCACCCCCATGGCAGTTCACTTTATTGAAAATTCCAGACGAGTTGATTTTTCATTGCATTTCTGGTAGGGGTGGAAACTGCAATTACATTAGAGATTAAATCTAGGTTTGGCATCATGGGCTTTAGCACAAGTGATGCCATTTAAGGTCTGTTTTTTGTGTTTTTTTTTTTTTTAACAATTCCGACTCCTCTCTCTTTCGACCACATACACACAAACACAGCTTCATGATATAAATATCTTTATCTTATTTTACAGATGGGGAAACTGATATTAAGAGAGATTGAGTAATTTATCCAAGGACATAGGGCTGATAACTAAGTGGTCTCTCTGACTTTAAAAACTTCTCTTAACCAGGATTCTATGACCTGAACAAAGCCAGAATGGCACAAATCGTAATATTCCATTGCCAGGGTAACATATCAGTAGGCTGAGCCACACCAGTGGACTTCCAATAGGCTCTGAGTTGCTGTATGTTGAAGGTAATTTATAATAATATACCTGTTGTTGTTTAGTCACTAAATCACACACGACCCCATGCAACCCCGTGGACTGNAATCGTAATATTCCATTGCCAGGGTAACATATCAGTAGGCTGAGCCACACCAGTGGACTTCCAATAGGCTCTGAGTTGCTGTATGTTGAAGGTAATTTATAATAATATACCTGTTGTTGTTTAGTCACTAAATCACACACGACCCCATGCAACCCCGTGGACTGTAGCCCAACAGGTTCCTCTGTCCATGGGATTTTCCAGGCAAGAATACTGGAGTGGGTTACCATTTCCTTCTCTAGGGGATCTTCCTGATCCAGGGATTGAACCCACATCTCCTGTATTGGCAGGCAGATTCTTTACCACTGAGCCACCTGGAAAGCCCAATATACCTGTAGAAATAGTAATATGCTTTCAATATATACATATTTGATTCTTGGTATTTTGGTAGTTATATTCTATAAAGTGCCCTGAACATTGAATTAGCAAATATTGAGCCATGGCTCTTAGAGGAAATACAGTGGCTTTGTGACCAGAGCCTCTGGTCACAGAAATTTTGTCAACCAATCAATGTACAGTTTTTTTAAAGAGTGTTTCAATTTAGAGACACAAAATATGTTGTTGATTCATTGATGTTGAACTCACAGTTGACAGCACTATAACTCATTCTTAAACAAGGTTGATCTAACACACATAAGGCACATCACAGCCTTCTTGCCATCTAGGAACACCAGACGGTACTTTAGCATGAAACTTGATAGGCATTTTAAAAAGTGAAATCAATACCAAGCACAAAAATGCGAGAAACACCACATTTGACCCTAAAAAGATGAGGACAATGACACCCTTGTGATATGAGAGCTGAAACAAGAAGGCAGAGAGAGAGCCTTGCTCTACCTTAGCTGTTGGCGTGCACATAAGGAGACCCAGGTTTTTCACTGCTATGTACATGTTTGGGGGTGACTGTGAAAGTGCTACAGTATTGATTATCGGATAGCAAATTTTAGTGAGTAGGTAAATTTTCAAATACAGAGTCCATGAATGGGACATGGAGGGTTCCTAGAGTGGGACCTACAGAGGATCCACTGTATATGCATGATTTGGGTATGACCTAAATCAAACCCCTTCTACAGTGAAAGTGTAATATTATACAGTGAAAGTGACAAACAGATTCGAGGGATTAGAGCTGATAGAGTGCCTGAAGAACTATGGACAGAGGTTTGTGACATTGTACAGGAAGCAGTGATCAAGACCATCCCCAAGGAAAAGAAAGGCAAAAAGGTAAAATGGTTGTCTGAGGAGGCCTTACAAATAGCTGAGTAAAGAAGAGAAGCAAAAAGCAAAGGAGAAAAGGAAAAATATACCCAACTGAATGCAGAGTTCTGGAGAATAGCAAGGAGAAATAAGAAAGCCTTCTTAATTGAACAATATGAAGAAATAGAGGAAAACAATAGAATGGGAAAGACTAGAGTTCTCTTCAAGAAAATCAGAGATACCAAGGGAACATTTCATGAAAAGATGGGCTCAATAAAGGACAGAAATGGTATGGATCTAACAAAGCAGAAGATGTTGAGAAGAGGTGGCAAGAATACCCCGAAGAACTATACAAAAACGTCTCCATGACCCAGATAACCGTGATGGTGTGATCACTCACCTAGAATCAGACATCCTGGAGTGTGAAGTCAAGTGGGCCTTAGGAAGCATCACTAGGAACAAAGCTAGTGGAGGTGATGGAATTCCAGTTGAGCTATTTCAAATCCTAAAAGGTGATGCTGTTAAAGTGCTGCACTCAATATGCCAGCAAATTTGGAAAATTTAAGAGTGGCCGCAGGACTACAAAAGGTCAATTTTCATTCCAGTCCCAAAGAAAGGCAATGCCAAAGAATGTTCAGACTACCGCACAATTGCACTCATCTCACATACTAGCAAAGTAATGCTTACTTACAATTCTGCAAGCCAGGCTTCAACAGTATGTGAACTGTGAGCTTCCAGATGTTCAGGCTGAATTTAGAAAAGGCAGAGGAACCAGAGATCAAATTGCCAACATCTTTTAGATCATCGAAAAAGCAAGAGAGTTCCAGAAAAACATCTACTTCTGCTTTATTGACTACACCAAAGGCTGTGACTGTGTGGATCACAAGAAACTGTGAAACATTCTTCAAGAGATGGGAATACCAGACCATCTGACTTGCCTNTCTGCAAGGAGATCAGTCCTGAACATTCATTGGAAGGACTGATGTTGAAGCTGAAACTCCAATACTTGGCCACCTGATATGACGAACTGACTCATTTGAAAAGACCCTGATGCTGGCAAAGATTGAAGACAGGAGGAGAAGGGGACAACAGAGAATGAGATGGTTGGATGGCATCACCGACTCGATGGACGTGAGTTTGAATAAGCCCCGGGAGTTGGTGATGGACAGGGAAGCCTGGCGTGCTGCAGTCCATGGAGTCACAAAGAGTCAACACGACTGAGCAACTGAAGTGACTGACTGTGTATGCATGCTTAAACATACATGCCTTTAAAAAGTCATAGGTTAGGCACATTACTTATCTCCATTTAAAACACTAAAACTAGGTGATTGAAGCATAGGAACTGACTTTTCCCATGTCACACATGTAGCCAGTTTCATAGACATGTGACACCTCTCTACTGTTGCGCAAGCCCCCACTCCTAAGAAGGAGCCCACTTGGTTGAATTCTCTTCGGCCACCATCTTAAAATTCTCAGGGATTTTTCGACAAGGGCCCTTGCCTTTTCATTTTGCTCTGGCCACCACAACTTATGTAGCTGAACCTGATCACATAGCAACTAAACAGATTAATAACTGAGGGGACAAAAATACTGTTTATCCAATTGAACAAAAATGTTTTCACAGTGACTAATAAATATTTTAGTTACCATTTATTGAGTTTTGGTTTTATTAAGTTCTTAATAATGTATTAGCTCATTTAATCCTTATAGTTCTCTGTGATTTGGGTATTATTTCCATTAAACGTGTAAGGTAACTAAAGCCCAGAGAAGGTAAGTTAACTGAGGCCACACAATTAGCATAGCTTGAACAAGAGTCAAATCTTTTTGACTTCAGATTCCATGCTCTTACCATTAGACTCTTGCTGTGTCTAATTTTAGTTGGCTCCTGTGTTTGTGTGATCTGTAATGAGAGTTTTATATTCCCAGGCTGCTTTTAATCATTTTTCTTTGTATTTAATTTTTGTTAGTTTGATTAATATGTGTCTCGGCGTATTTCCCCTTGGGTTTATCCTGTATAGGACTAGTGCTTCCTGGACTTGATTGACTGTTTCCTAATGCACTGTAGTGACCTGGATGGCAAGGAAGTCCAAAGGGGAGGGGAGAGATGTGTGTGTATGGCTGGTTCGTTTTGCCGGACGGTAGAAACTAACACACTATAAAGAAACTGTGCTCCAATAAAAATTAGTTTAAAAATAATAAAATAAAATGCATTAGGGTGAGGATGCACAGTGATATCAAATAAATTAGTCTATTAGTAAAAAAGTTTGAATTCTATGATCTTCTTAGTGAATTTGTGACTAAGACATCTACATTTCATTTGCAGCAAATCTACATAATGGACTTTTAACAAAATATAAATTAGCTCAAAAGTACATGAGACAATGACCTTGTTTTCTACTTCCTTTAGTCATGTCCCTACTTGTTTTTCATTTGAACATTCTGCAGAGAGGATGATAAACAGTAAAAGTGGTAAAGGAGACAGAATTCAAGGAGTTTAGTTTCCATCAAATTAGTATCTCTAGTAAAAGTAACTTGAAATTAATGATAAAAATGAGATATGGGAGCTATCTGTAGATTTATTTCATTCACATCTTGTTTTCACTACTTTGGATAATTAATGGATGATCGAAACAGAGTTAGCAAGATTGAGGCCAATTTAATTATTTAGTGTTAATTGAGTGCATAAAATGTTTTATCTTCCTTCAGTTTAAACTTGCTAGATCCATTGTTGAAAAGGTATCTTCTCTCTTCTCTGTTCACTTCTGCAAATGACATCTTGCCTAAAGAATTGCTTACTTGAAAACCAAGGGATCATTTCTTAGTGGGTTGTACATCTTTTATATTTGTGAGCTAACATTACTGGATTTATACTTTTAGGAAAGTCCACTGCTTTTTATTGAGCTCCTACATTATACTGAACTCCACCTCTGTATTATTGTAAATCATATGATGCCTGAAATCAAGGATTTTCCAAGGGAGACAGGAAAGAGAAAGATAAAGCAGAAAGGCTGTACATGCCAGAGATGATGCAATACAATTGCTGTTTAGTAAAAAAGCTTTTCTTCTCATATTCTTGAAAAAGAGTTTTATGTTCTTAAAATTCCCAGAAATGAAATGAGTATAGGAGAGTTAGATCCCATCTGAGATATTGGATTAGAGAAAAATAGCTTTACTTCTTTCTCTTAGTCCTAAAATCGTGGGAGCTCAGCCCTCAGCTGGGACACACTCCCAACCAAATTTGCCTGAATCAAAACAATCCACCACTGAACAGGAGAATGAATGTTAGTTGTTGCATGCCTCCGAGTTTTGCATCATTATCGTGGCAATAACTTCCTGAAACAATTCTTTACGACTGTTCAGAATATATATGTCTTCCTCATGGCTCTGGACAGAGGGAGGAAAAAATGTCAGGGATTTTATTCTCCATTAAAGCATTTCCTTTTGTTCTGAGCAACTATTTTCTTCAAGTGACTTTTTTCTTGTAAGATTTATTTGTTAGCCCAGAGAACTCTGAAATTATACCTCTTATTCTCTTGTGTATTTAGGAATGGAAAACTGATGTGGGTTTCCTAAAACAGTGTATGTTTGCAAAATTTTTGGCACTTGAAAGGGTTAAAGGGTAAACGATCTAAAAGTCTCACAGTAAAGGGACTAATCAATTAATTATTATACATCCATATGATAGACTACTGTCATCAGAGAGTACCTTTTTTATTACAAAAGACACATATAGTAACATGAAAAATTCTCACAATGTTAAGTGAATAGAAATTATCTAATAAATAATATACTTTTTATTTATTCAACAAGTATTTATTAACCACTTGCTTTATGCAATGTTCTCAGTGTTAATCCCAGTTTTATTCCACAGCTTTATTGTGTTATAATTGACATACAATAAACTGTATGTGTAAAGTGCAGATAGTCCCTAACTTACAATGATTTGATGTGCAATTTTTCAACTTTATGATGGTGCAAAAGCAATATGTATTCAGTAGAAACCATATTTCAAATACTTCAAATTTTGAACTTTGATCTTTTCGCAGGCTAGTGACTCGTGGGACAATACACCCAGCTCCCAGTCAGCCATGTGATCAAAAGTGAAAATGACTGATACGATTACAACCATTCTGTTTTTCAGTTTCAGTATAATGTTCAATTAACTACATTTGATAGTCAGCACTTTATTATAAAATAAGTTTTATAATAAGTGTTGGATGATTTTGCCCAACTGAAAGTCAATGTACATGTTCTTAGCACATTAAAGTAGGGGAGGCTGAGCTATCATGTTTAGTAGGTTAGGTGTATGAAATACATTTTCAACTTAATATATTTTCAATAAACAATGGGTTTATCAGGTTGAAGCCCCACCCTGAATCAAGGATGATCTATATACAATTTGATTAGCTTTGATATATGCAAAAACATGAAACCATCACCACAAACCAGATAACAAACATATTCATCACCACTAAAAGCTTACTCATACTTTGTATTACTTTACAGTCCTGCCTGCTGCCATTGTTCTTAACCCCTCCTCATTTCCAGACAACCACTTCTCTGCTTTCAGTCACTATGGAGTATTTCACATTTCATAGAATTTTATGAGTAGAATCAAACAATACCATTTTTTGGGGTCTGACTTTTCTTCACTCAACCCAATTATTCTGAGAGTCAGCAATGTTATTATGTGTATCAATAGGACTATCTTTTTTTTTTTCTTAATAACTGCATAGTATCCATTGTGTGGATATACCATGATTTATTTATCCACTCAGCTGTTGATGGACATTTGGGCTGGTAGGACTTTGGGGCTGATAATATTGATTTTCTAAAATGAAAGTATTGATTTTCTAAAATGAAAGTGTTGATTTCAACATGAGTTGTATTCTATTTATAAATTGTAGATTTTTTTTTTTAATTTGGCTATGCCACATGGCTTGTGATATCTTAGTCCTCCAACAAGAGACTGAAAGACCGCTGCCCCTGGCTGTAAAAGCATGAAGTGCTAACCTCTGGATTGCCAGAAAATTCCCTAAATTGAGTTTATTTTTGTGTGAATGATCATTCTTATTTTTTTTCTGAAATTAATATTCAGTTAACCCAAGTTGAAAAGACTAAACACCTCGAGTAGTATATTTACAAACTTAGTTAATACAAATCCTTTAAATACTTTAAATTTCCTTTGTAAATTTAGCATATCTGATTTTTAAGTACTTCAAATCCTTGAAAAGACAAATTTACAGGCCTAACAAGCAAAATCTTCCTAAATAGTTAAAAACATATGTTTAAAATTTGTGTTTTAGTATAATCAGTTTGATGTCTTCTTCTGTATTTGTTTTTTTTAATTTTTGGCTGTAGCGCTAAGCCTGAGGGATCTTAGTTCCCTGAGCAGGGATCTAACACAGCCTCACCAGTGGAATCTTAGAGTTCTGACTACTAGACAGGCAGGGAACCCCTTGCACTTTTTATAATGAAATATCTTTGGATATTTATTAGTAAAAAAACATCCAAAATGTGAATTTGGCTGTTTCTGGATTACAAGTGATTTTAGCTTTTCTACCTTTTACTTTGCTGTGTTTTCTCCACTTCCTATAATAAATTCATATTATCTTTATAATCAGAATAAGCAATGAAAGTTCCTAAAAGCAAAAATCAATGCATAATATTGCTTTAAAAACCAAAATATATTCTCTCACTGTATCCTCTTTCTCTGGTCTTTTCTTTCTCCTCAGGAAATATCAAGACCTTAGAAAGCAATAGTAAGAGATACAGGGAGGTTGTGGGAGGGTCACAGTGGTGGTGGTATCTGCAGGAGGGGAAATACCTAACATGAGGTAATCACTTGATAAAGTAACTGGAGATGCTGGTGAATACCTGATTGTGAATACTGGGTTTGAGGTTAAGCAATCTATTGACAGTTTTTTTTTTTTTTTTTCTGCATTCGTTTGCAGGACAGCAAGAATCACTTGATGATTAGTTTTTCAGCATAATGGCATCTGTAAACAGAAAGAGTGAAATAATTAAAAAACTTAAAACAGACAAATGTCTCCTGGAGGACATAAACGAAAGGCGAGAATCCAACTGCCTGGTGGAAAGAAGCAATCAAGTCAGCTTATTGAGAGTTCAAAAGAGGCATTTCCATGGTGACTACAAGTCCCTTACTCATGACCAGGTCAAAGAAATTGTTCCCGACAGTGACAGGAGCTCTTGGGTCAAACTGAGTCTCTTCGTTCACAAGGAGAAAAGGCACTTTCCACCAAAAAGTAAGATGCTGCAGTAGGATTCCTACCCAGTTGACAGGAGGGATCTATAAGTAAACTTAGGAGTTATTTCTAGGATTGAAAGAGGTTCATACATGTTGCTCTGGGAGAGTTAAAAGGCAGTCTGTTTGAAGTTAAAAGCATCAGTATACTAGGCTAGTTGACTTAAACTAGGCTAGTAAGATCTACTATAGACCAGAGATCCTCGTTTCCTCGAGTTTACAGGATTTGAGGGATCATCTCCACACTGGCTCATTCAATAGGCTCTAGTTTGGGTACTGGAATATGCATTCTCAGGCAGGCAGAGGTGATACTGAGCCTGATGGCCTAAGAACCATATTTTGAGAAGGGTCTAGAGGCCTCCTTGTTCATCAATTTCTGTTACGTCTGCAAAAATGTCTTATGCAAAATTGAGATACAGTGGAAATTATTTTGATGACAAATATCAAACAAAAAAACCTGAGACACAATAATAAAATGTGGAGGAAGTTTGGGGTGAGGTGGTGTGTGGTGTTGGTGGTATTATTTTGCAGGGGGGGAGGAAGAAGAACTGCTGGTAAATACTTTAATTGTTAAATACTTGTTTCTAAGTCAAGACAAGCAACTGATGTTATTTTTCCATTTATTTTGAAAAAAAATAAAGAGTATAATTATGTTAAACATAACCAACAAATGATTAAGTTAGATCACAAACAAAATAATTGCCATATTGGAAATTTAACTTCTTTGATGTCAAGGCTGTGACTATACACCTGACTGACTACAGTTCATAAACAGGGCAGAGAGGGTGATGCAGTGTGGCCTGGAAACCTGAGATTCTCCATTGTGTTTTAGGGTTGATCTGTAACAGTCATATGTTAACTTTGCTCAAAAAATAACTCTTTTACAAGGAGGAAGTATTCCACTTCCCTGGTAGCTCAGTTGGTAAAGAATCCGCCTGCAATGCAGGAGACCAGGGTTTTTTCCCCGGGTCAGGAAGATCCATTGGAGAAGGAAATGGCAACCCACTCTTGTATTCTTGCCAGGGAAATCCCATTAACAGAGGCACTTTGCGAGCTACAGTCCATGGCATCTCAAGAGTCAGACATGACTTAGTGACTGAACCACCACAATTCTAAGAGAACCCGAACAATCTCAATCACAAAAAAGAAGAAATAATGCCATTTTCAGCAACATGGGTGGACATAGAGATTACTATACTAAGTGAAGTAAGTCAGAAAAAGAAAGACAAATACTATACGACATCACTTATACGTGGAATCTAAAATAAAACTCAAATGAACAGAAACAGACTCACAGATATTTTGAAGCTCTCTCTTTAATTTTCTATTTGGAGATATGTCAGTCAAAAGAGGGAGAGTCTTACTTAACCATGCCTTAAAAATGGAAGACTTGGTGTCTTACTCAGTTTGGGCTGCTATAACAAGTTACTATAGACTGAGTGGCTTAAAAAACTAACTTTATTTCTCACAGTTCTGGTGGCTGGAAGTCTGAGTCAGGGTGCCAGCATGATTGGGTTCTTGGAGTTCCCTTTTCCTAGTTTTCAGACAGCCGTTTTCTTGCTGTATTGTTACACAGTAGAAACAGCTGGCTAGTTTTTTGGGCTCTTCCTGTAAGGGCATGAATCCCTTTCATGAGGACTCCACTCTCATGACTTAATTACCTCCCAAAGGCCCCACCTCCAAACACCATCCCACTGGGATTAGAGCTTCAGCATAAGAATTTGGAGAAGCACACACATTCAGGCCATTGCACTTGGGTTCAAGTTCCACTTCTGTGATTGAGCGGTCTCATGCTTTCAGTCCTTCACTGTCTCTAAGCCTATTCCTTGTATCTATGAGACAGTGGCACTGGCACCCCACTCCAGTGCTCTTGCCTGGAAAATCCTGTGGATGGAGGAGCCTGGTGGGCTGCAGTCCATGGGGTCGCTAAGAGTCAGACATGACTAATGGACTTCACTTTTCACTTTCACTCACTGGAGAAGGAAATGGCAACCCACTCCATTGTTCTTGCCTGGAGAATCCCAGAGACGGGGGAGCCTGGTGGGCTGCCGTCTATGGGGTCACACAGAGTCGGACACAACTGAAGCGACTTAGCAGCAGCAGCAGCATGAAACAGTACTTCTCCTCTGCCTTCAGGGTTATTTTGGAACTATGAAATGTATTATAAGATATGTAATAGACACTTATTCTTTTATTTTTCAGATAATGCCATATTTGGATAAAGTCCATCTACGAAGACACATAGAAACACAATCTCTTTGATCCTTCTTCAATATCCGTCTAAATTATTTACAAATATTAATTATAAGAGAAGCCAAAGAAAACTATTCACTAGATCATCAAGAAACCATTGAGCCACACAAAATGTATTACATCTTCACTGCCTTCCATCATTTAGACTTAAATGTTTTGAAGAGAGGATTTGAGTTATTAAAGATACTTTCAGAGATGGATGACCTAAACGTTCACTTCACAGTGATCTTCTCTTTACGAATTTAAAATGTTCAAATAGTTTATATTATTTCTTTTTTTTAGAGTTACAAGTGTTTTACTTTTATTAATTCTTTTTAAAAAAAGGTTTTGTTTTGTATTTTTTAATTTAGAAGGAAATGGCAACACACTCCAATATTCTTGTCTGGGAAATCCCCTGGACAGAGGAGAGTCTGGCACGTTACAGTCCATGGGACCGAGAAAATGTGGGACATGACTTAGTGACTAAACAACAAACAACATGGTTAATTTATAATATTATGTAAGTTTCAGATGTACTGCATAGCAATTCAAACATGCATAAAACATAAATATATATATATATATGTATATGTATATACTTTTCTAGGATTCTTTACCTTTACAGGTTATTACATAATATTGAGTATAGTTCCCTGTGTTATACAGAAGGTCCTTGTTGATTATCTATTTATATTTATACATAGTATAAATAGTAGTATATATATATTAATTCCAGCCCCTAATTTATCCTTCTTCCCACATCCAAAGTTTATATTGTTTCTGCAAATCAGTGGAATGTGTTGACCAACCACACCAATCAACTTGAAGGCTAAAGTTTGCCGAAGTTAACATTTGCTTCTATTGATTACTTATATTACCTTGCTCTGTTAGAGCAATGATTTTGATAATTTGAATAAGTACATACTTGAGAAGGTAATAGAAGATTCCTATAGAGGCTTCTGTTGTATATCATTGCTGTTGTTGTTCAGTTGCTGCTAAGTCATGTCTGACTCTTCAACCCCATGGTATTGCAGCACTCCAGGCTTCCCTGTCCTTTACTGTCTCCTGGAGTTTTCTCAGATTCAGGTCCATTGAGTTGGTGATGTTATCCAACCATCTCAGTCTCTGTCAACCCCTTCTCCTCCTGCCCTTAATCTTTCCTATCATCAGGATCTTTTCCAGTGAGTCATCTCTTCTCACCAGATGGCCAAAGTATTGGAGCTTCAGCTTTAGCATCAGTCCTTCCAATGAATATTCAGGGTTGATTTCCTTTAGGTTTGACTCCAAGGGACGCTCAAGAGTCTTCTCCAGCATCACAGTTCAAAAGCATCAATTCTTTGGTGCTCAGCTTTCTTTATGGTCCAACTCTTACATCTGTGCATGACTCCTGGAAAACCATAGCTTGACCTATACAGATTTTTGTCAGCAAAGTGATGCCTCTGCTTTTTAATATGCTGCCTGGGTTTATCATAGCTTTCCCCCTAAGGAGCAAGTGTCTCTTAATTTCATGGCTGCAAGTCACTATCTACAGTGATTTTGGAGCCCAAGAAAATAAAATTTGTCACTGCTTCCGCTTTTTCCCCTTCTATTTTTCCATGAAGTGAGGGGACCAGATGCCATGATCTTAGTTTTTTGAATGTTGAGATTTAAGCCAGCTTTTTCGTTCTCTTCTTTTGCCCTTATCAAGAGGCTCTTTAGTTTCTTTTCACTTTCTGCCATTAGAGTGGTATATATCTGAGGTTCTTGATATTTCTCTCAGCAATCTTCATTTCATTTTTTGATTCATCCAACCTAGCATTTCGCATGATGCACTCTGCACATAGGTTAAATAAGGAGGGCAACAATATACAGCCTTGTGGTACTCCTTTCCTAATTTTGAACCAGTCAGTTGTTCCTTGTCTGGATTTAACTGCATACAGGTTTCTCAGGAGACAGGTGGTCTGTGTATCATTGCCCACCCCAAGTGGGCATTGCTTAAATCATCTCGTGGTCAAATCCTATTTGGCTAGGGTGGCCTATCTTTCACTGATGCTTGGATAGCAGACTAATTTTCAAATTTTATCCTGGCTTATGCTCCGTATAGTAGTTTGAGTTAATTGCTATTCGATTTCTATTAAGAGCCTATTTCATATGGCAAGCTGAGCACTGCCTGGCCTGGACCACAGCTGTTTCTTGGCATTTGTCTTTATATCAGTGAAATATTCACCTTTTATTTGGCTGCCCTTTGCCTCCATAAAAAGCTCAGATTCATAAGCCAAAGGATTTTAATATTGAAGGGGGATGAACCAGGCAACTGGCCTACAACCCTACCTCAGCTAACACTGCACCAGGGCATAGTATGAATAAGATCCATCAGATCTGAGGGCATGTTAAAAAAAAAAACAAAAAAAAACACAGACCCAAACCTAAGCTTTTGCTTTTCAAGAAGGCAAACACCTAGTAGTGTCAGGAGCTGTGAAGGGTTAGCCTGCCACAGTTTCATGGGCATTGAAAGAAGACATGAGACTCCTAGTTCTGAGGCAAAGGACTTGTTATTTGGAGCTCAGCAAGTAGCACAAACCTCACATACCTGCTGATTCCTCTTACCCTCCCCTCCGTCTTCCCTTTTCTAAAATCCGCAGGACACTATGGAGCTGTTTAGGTAGATGACACACACACAGAGATTCTGCCTCATGGTTAAAGACCACTAAGGTCAAGAGAGCCAGTCTTTGCCTGCTGGAAGACATTCTCTTTATTATACTGGACAGGAAATAAACCCTCCCTTTGATTCGATGGGGACATTATCTCTATCTACCAAGACCCATGATAATATAAATACCCTTGAAGAGATAGCCTGGAACAAAAGCTTTTGGTCCCTCTGGCACAAAACTGCAGAAATGTGAGAGACCTGTGTATGGAGAATGATCTCCCAACACCTAGCAGCCCAAGTAAAGGCTACAAATACAGCGCCAATCTTTTCTTGGTTCAACCTAAGATTTTTCCTGTAGTCATGTGTAGATGTGAGAGTTGGACCACAAAGAAAACTGAGAACTGAAGGATTGATGCTTTTGAACTGTGGTGCTGGAGAAGACTCTTGAGAGTCCCTTGGACTGCAAGGAGATCCAACCAGTCCATCCTAAAGGAGATCAGTCCTGGGTGTTCATTGG